TCTCAAATGATGATAACCATTTTAAGTGATAATGAAAAAAATTTACCACTTCCATACCAATTGATGATTTTTTGATAATGACTGCCAATCGTTTTTAATGGTAATGAAACTTGTCTTACCAATACCATTCCATATTACCATCTTTAAACTTATTTTCTCCATTATCAATTAATTCAAGTTATTTAAAATTCAATATTAAAAGTTCAAAATTATCTTAAAAACTTATTTTCTCTATACCGTTCTTCATTATCTTAAAGCATACAAATATAAATTATTTAAGACATGCACACATCAAAAAAGAAAAAAAGAAAAAAAAGAACCAGCAACAATTGAAAACTACATAAAATAAAAAAAAAGAAGGAAAAAGTAAGGAAGGTTCCTGATCTTTCTCTTCTTGAAGCCCCTCCCCCAATTTCGGCCATCACTACCATCCACATCGTCATCGTCACCACCATCCACATCGTCACCATCACCACCATCATCATCATTGACCATTACCTCCAGTTTCGATCTCCATCTCTAGTAGCTGTAAGTTTCTTCATCAATCTTGCTCCATCGCCGAAAATCTATCTCCAGATCTGCTTGTCTTCACCCCGTAGCAACTGTAGGCCACAAATCTGGGGGTTTTTGAGGAGTGGAGAAAAGAGAGAATTTCTCTCTCTGGCGGAAGAGAAAGAAGTAGAAGAAGAAAGTTAGATAGGGATAATGAGTTCTTACTATTTATATTGTCAAATTGTTGGGAAATTTTCAAAATTTACCACCGTTTTAGGACAAAAATTATTAAAAATATTCTAAAAAAAAAAAAAAAAGTTTTAGACGAGTGGTAAATTCGGTAGCCATATGGTAAATATGGTAATGACCTCCAATACCAATTTCGTACCATAAGTCTAAATGTATTGTTATATTACCATTTAGACTTACCATATAATAATTTCTTGTACCATTTCCGTTGATAATGAAATGGTATAATAGTAATTGTGGCATTTATGGTATAATGCCCAGCCTTAACAACAACCATCAATAGCTACGCCAACGAAAAGTCGAAAAGCATCAAATGAAGATATTGATTTAGTACACGTTGTATACGCACACGAGAAATAATATTGTTTTACAGTATGTTCTATGCAAAATGCTCATTTTAACTATTGGTAGAGTGGGAATTTTTTTTTTTTTCAAAGCTGTTGGTAGATGAGTGGACTTCCAATGAACTCATTCTTCCATCAATAATTAAAAAAAGTGCAATTTATTGTTCACTTTTTTTAATGTATTAATATATTCTCTCTATTCATTTTTAGTAAATTTAATTTGATTTTTTAATTTTTTAAATATAAATTTTAGAAAAAATTTTAACAATTTATATGAATAATAATTGAAAAGTTTCTTCATTCCTATATGAAATTTTTGTTGAATATTTTTATTTAGTTAAAAAATTTTCAATTATTATTTATATAATATATTAAAATTTTATTTAAAATTTTTCATATCTAAAAAGTTAAAAAGTCAAATTAGGTATATTAAAAATGAATGAAGGGAGTATCTATAAAAAAATAATTGAGTATGCATAGTTGTATTTATGGTCACAGTGTGATTTGTTATGGGCACATAATTTAACTTTTTTTTATTAATTTATAACTTTTTTTATTAAACAATTAGTTATAATATCTAAAAATATTTGTTTATAAACTAATTTTAATATATTAAATAATAAATACTAATTGTTTTATTATTTAATAATTATTTTTAATAAAAAATAGTGATTGATACATATTTTAATTCAATATATTTATTAAAAAATAATTATTTTTTGATATAAAATTAAAAATAAATAACCTTAAAAAAAGTTGAATTTATTGTACTTATATATATATTATTTTAATAATCAAATTAAGATGAATGTCATAAAGAGTGGTGAATCAAATACATATCAATCATTTTTTTTAATTAATAATCTCACTAAAATAAAAATTTACTAATTTATGTTATCTTAACAAATAATTGTGTAGCTATTTATCACCACCAATGAGCACATTGACTTCTTCTTCTTCTTTTTTTCTTTTCTTGAGAATTTTTTAGTCATCACCAAAGAAAAATTTCATCAGATACTTTCCAAGCAGTGTCATCTGAACCTGATTTGCTAGTCAATACGCGTAAAAACCCAGCATCGTGCCACTATCAACATCCATGCATGGTAATCGTGCTTAATTTTTGACTTTGTGCAACATATCTAGATAAGTTTATGTCCTGAGCAGCAGTCGATTCCACGACCCCATTCACACTCACCCTTTGACGTTGTAGGCTTGCTCTTGACTCTTCTTCTCCAACTGTATACTTTATTATTCCAATAGTTTTCATCCAATAATGGCCACCCCCTATCATTGATTATTTTTATTTTATACATTTATGAAACTTGCATATTGCCTTATAAGCCCTTTTTAAATGTTAATATATAGTAAAAAATAGTCTTTCTTTCTTATAAATTTTTTAACTTAAAGAAAATGCTTATAAAAAAATAAAAACTCTGAACATCAAAAGAATAAAAGATAAAAGTAAAAACTCTGTAAACTGACTAGGTTTGTTTTATCCTTATTTAGTCAATTAGAACAATTTGAAAGATTTCTCTGGCACAAAATTGGTAAGGCGTATCCATACATATGGTGTGAATAAAGGGGATGAAAGAGGACCCAAAAAAAAAAAAAAAAAAACTTTGATGGTTGTAATTTGGGTGTGGTTATTATTATATAATAATTTGTTAAATTTACATAATATTGTCAAAAAAATATTTATTTTATTTTATTATTAAAAATAATTAATAAGTGATTAAATAATTAATATTTATTTATAAATTAATATTTTAAATATTATAATTAAATATTAAAAATTATAAATATTAATTAAATTATATATAATTTATACAATTTTGATAAAATATTAAGTAATTATAACCACACTACCGTGCATATAGAAAGAAAAACGAAAAGCAAAAAAAAGCATTAAGTATTGTAATGGACTCCATTCATGGTGCAATCATTTTCGTTTTTTAAATGAATTTAGTTTAGACGAGTGTGTGGTTACAATTGAGATGAAATAATAATAATAATAATAAAAGAAGGTTCCTAAAACGTTTTGTGGCATAAATTTAATTATCCCATGTTTTTGTTCCATTTTGGGCTTTGGAGTCAACGGTGGCTACGCACTTACGCGGGTGGGAGGTGGGGCCGGAACCCGGGAATTCTGGTGCCGCCGCCCGGCAGATGTAGCGTGGTGGCGGAATTAGAGCCTCGAGTGTGGAAATTGTGGGCGGCCACCACGAGACAACGACAAAACGCAAACCCTTGGTGGTTGTTCTAGGAAACATGAGAAACCAAATATTTTAGTGTAGTTGGGGACTTCAATTTTCTGTTTCCGTTATTCACGTGTCGGCGGAAGGGATTGTCTCGTTGTGTAGTTTGTGCCTTACCTTCTACACACCGACCACAATTATTTCGTACCGTGTCTATAACGAAATCAAATAGTACTATAATTATTACAGTATTATTTTATTTTTAAATAAAAATTAATTATTACTCAATTAGAGTTTAGTTAAGTTTAATATTTATTAATTTAAAAA